TAAGATAGATTCTTTGAAATGATTATCTGTGGTAGTATTTAATTTAGAAGCAAAATGAATATGTATTTGTGTATACAGTAACATGACAGTGAAATTTGGAAATGTCTGTTATATTGACTTTTATTCTTATGTAAATTTTATGTTTAAAATGTAAGTAAATTTTATCTTTTGTTTAAAATGCAAGTAAAAATCAGTAAGTCACTTTGACTGTTTTTCTTTTGAATTTGGTAAGTAGAAGAACTAAACCTTCTTTTTTTTAGCCCACCCCGCTCCTTGAAAATGTTTTTTCTTTGATTCTTCTACTATGTAATTGGTTTATGTTGCAAATGTTTTAAAGCAATCATCACCATTAAGGAAGTAGTAAAAGAAAGTAAAATTGAAGCATTGCCTTTGGAGCAAGTTAGAAGAAATCAAAACTTGGCTGAACATTTACAAATCCAAACTGAGACCCAGCTGTGTCAGTGACTACCTGTTTGCAGACAGTTTTGAATTTGATTTCTTTATCTGTAAAACAAAGTATTTAAATTTGATTTTAATGATTTCCTTCTACTTGTGAAATCTAATAATTTGAGAGACTTTGAGGAGTCTTGATGCTTTTTCATTGTGTTCCTCTTCTCTTCCTTTGTTGCAGTGATCATCAAATACCAGATGCCTCAATTTAGACTAATTGAATAGAATTCCCATGATGGAGTCCGGATATATACTTTTTACTTTAAATAAATAAATATGTGTATATTTTGTGCATGTACATATTTTAAAAAGCTCTGTTGCACTTATGGGTTAATTTACAAATATTTGCTCCTGAGAAATATGTAATCTCAGCCAGGTTCTGTGGCTCACACCTGAATCCTAGCACTTTGGGAGGCCAAGCCTGGCAGATCACTTGAGGCCAGGAGGTTGAGACCATCCTGGTCAACATGGCGAAACCCCGCCTCTACTAAAAATACAAAAATTAGCCAGGCATGGCAGCATACACCTGTAATCTCAGCTACTTGGGAGGCTGAGGCACAAGAATCACTTGCATCTGGATGTGGAGGTTGCAGTGAGCCAAGATAGTGCTACTGCACTCCAGCCTGGGCAACAGAGCAAGACTCTGTCTCAAAAAAAAAAAAAAAAAAAAAGATGGAGTCTTACTATGGATTTTTAAAACAATTTAGGACTGAAACTTAAAAAAAAAATTAGTGATATCATTTGTATGAAAATACATGCTTTTGAATTTTTATGTACAGGGATTTATACATACAGCATTGGCTTCTGGGAATATCTTGATCGTGTTATGAGACCGGATTACCTTTTAGTACTTCTTAGTCCCACTTGAATCCTGTACTTTTCAATGAACTGCATGGTATTTATGGACTTGATTTCTCTTTCTCAGATCATGACAGTTTCATTGTATGAGTGAAGTACAGGTGTAGTCAGTCTTCTCAACTCCAAGCCTTTTCAGAGATGGTTGTCAACCTCTGTTTTTGCCTCTCTCATTCTTTGTTTTAGTTCAGTTTACATTATCTGCTTTTCTTTCCTTCTATCCTTGAGGATAGAATTGGTGTCTTCAATTTTTCAAACACTTTTCTAACTTTTTCCCTCACTAGGCAACTTCTGCCCTACTGCTTTGTGCTGTACAAATGGTTTTTTAAAAAAAAGTCTCCCATTGAAAATGGAATGAACAACAAAACATTAGCTTCAAAATGCAAGTAATTTTGTTTAGTGCAGTAGAAAGAGGTTGATTTAAGAAAACCTGTAGGTTTTTTGTTTGTTTTTAAATTAAAAAAGCCCTGTGCAGTTTATCTTAGTGCATCCAAATTCTTATATCTGATAACATTGGGACCTGGCAATTTTTGACCAGGGAATAGTCCATTTCATGGAATACCCTCTTCATGAGTAAATCTGGTATTTATTAAAGTTTTTATTTTCTTAGCAGTTACCCTCTTAGCATGATAATGGGTAGGTGGATGCTGAAAGTAAAAGAAATTTATTAATATGACCACAGCTTGAGAAGACTCAGTGCTTAATGAGGAAGGAAGTTCTACAACTGATGCCAGTGGAGTTGTGAGGACTCTGACCTGTTGGTCGTAGTCTCGAGATAACTATTTTCTCTCCAACCATTAGAGAAACAAGGAGTTCACATTTTTTGAAATTTGTAAATATAGTTTTTCTTTCTATTGGGGTTACCCATGTATTTTCAGGGATTCTCCTATCTTTCTTTTATTCTTTTCCACTGATAGTTCCAATTATTAATATAATACCAGGAGTAACTATAATTGACTTTTTATAGCCCACATAAAAAATAAAATAATTTCTAGTTCTATCTTTATTCTTTAAGCTTTTCATTTATTATTCCCTTAATTTGTTATTGTTAAAATAAATTGAGAAGAATATAGTAAAACTAAGTAGAACATACCTTTACTGGTTTCTTGCCATAATCCTGATTTTTCAGCAGCTATTATCGGATACATAACACAATCTACAAATTTTAAAACATCTTTCATAAAACTTTCCCAGATAAAGCATGAAGTATTATGAATCAGTGCTTAGGAAATTGCAGTTGGGATGGTGGACAAGGTGATATAAGTTATTCTAATTAGTCATAATCCAGAAACATCCTTAAGATTTATTTTTTATGTAATATTTTTATATGTTGTCCTAGCCATTAGCAAGACTGACCTCATTTATATTGAAAATTATTATTTAGTGCTGTTATGGAAGCACTAAATTGGGTGGTGGCTGGGAAGATGAACCAAGATCCAGACACTAGAAATTGTCCTTTGTAATATCTTTCTTTTAGCCTTTTGTTTCTATTATTACCTCTTTCTCTCAACTTGAAGCCCTTATTACCATAGTGTAAGTATAGTGCAAGTTTATCTCAGATTATCGCTATTATGTTCTGCCACCGAATTAATCTTTCTAAAACACTGCTTATTTAGGTCATTTCTGTGGCCTCTGGAGCCTAACCTGTGTTTACCTTTCTGTCCTTACCTTCCATTATTATTCCAGCTATCCCATTTGTCAGCTAGACTAAATATTTAGCTCTCCCAACACTGTCTCTGACATTTTGACCCTTGACACAGGAGGTATTCCTGCCTTTAATGCTGTTCTTTCCCCTTTCCCCCGTTCTTCTCCTGCTGGGTAAATCTTTTTAAGGACCTACTTAAATTTGAACTCCCCTAGGAAACTTTCCCTAGTTGCCCTACTTGTAGTAGCTTTGCTTTCTTCTAAAGATTTATGGCATTTTTGTTTGTTTGTTTAAACAATTCATTTGATAGCAAGAACTGGCTGATGTTTGTTTGTACTTACCTTCTTTGTGCACTTATCTTCTTTCCCCCCAATACTTCTAAACTTAGTGGGCTCAGGGCTATATCTTTAAACTGTTTGCATTACCCACATTACTTAATATTCATTGATTTATTGCTATTTTATGAATAGTAAGTAAAAATGCTCTTCAAATAAATTTCAAATCTGTTTGCTTATGATCAAGAACATCGGGCATTGTCTGCAGAAGATGCACCTGGGATTCAGATTGGGTACTAGCCCTTGTTAGATTTTTTTTTTTAGAGCAATTAAATATGGTACCAGTAAGTTATCTATTTGAAAGAGGACTCCGTATATATTTTCAGGGAATAAAATAATTTTAAGAAATTTGGAATCTTAATTTTTTTCCTCTAACACAGTATCAGAACAACACATTTGAGTAACGATAGTAATGTACTGCATAACAGTGTTTTGTTTTGGTCAACAGTGGATGGACCACATATACAATGGTGGTTCTATATAATTATAAATAACTTTTTCACTGTACCTTTTCTGTTTTTAGATATATTTAGATACACAAATGCTTACCCTTACATTACATTGCCTACAGTGTTCAAAACAGTAACATGCTGTACAGGTTGGCAGTGTAGGAGCACTAGGCACTATATAGCCTCGGTGTATAGTAGACCATGCCATCTAGGTTTATGTGAGTGCACACTTTAATGTTTCTGCAATGACAAAATCACCTGTCAATGCATGTCTCAAAATGTATCCCATCATTAAGCAACACATGACTATTTTTGTTCATGTGCTGAGTCAAAGTTAGTTATAGGAATGATAGCAGTACACTGTTGCAGCACAAAGTTATAGAGTTTTTATTTTGTCTTTAAGTCAGACAAGATAAAATGGATTTGAAGTCAGTGATTCTCTTACTTTATCATGGTGCTACTTTTTCTCTATATGAAAATAAAATGTTAATGTTTTTGTTTGAATCAGTAGTTTTCCCAAAAGTGTTTCTTTTGTCTCATTTGACATGCCTTCTCTAGGGTTATGATTAGTGTATAGATATATTAAAATAAAACATTGCTCTTAAAAACCTGTAGAGAATATTTAAATAACTTTTATGCCCTCTGTCAAACACCTGGAAAAATGTCAGTATTATTTCAAAAGCTGAAATGGGGAATATGTTTATCACATGCACAAAAATAAATGGTAGATTAGACTTTTGATCTATTGTAAGCAGTACCTTTTTTCCCCTATAAGCTATTGTTTTACCGATTGTTGTTGGAGACTCTAATTAGAATGTAAGTTCCTTAAGGGTAGAGATTTTATACAGGTTGAGTATCCCTAGTTCAAAATTCTTGGGAACAGAAGTGTTTTGGATTTCAGATATTTTTTCTTTTGGATTTTGGGATACTTGCATTATACTTATTGGGTGAACACCCCGAATCTGAGAATCTGAAATCTGAAATGCTCTAGTGACCAATTTTCTTTGAGTGTCACGTCAGCGTGCAATAAGCTTCAAATTTTGAAGCAGTTCGGATTTTGGATTTTCGGATTTGGGATGCTCAACCTGTACTTCTTTGTGTCCTCAACATTTAATCAGTGTTTTACTTCCCAGTACCTCAGTAAACATTTGTTGAGATGGTAAAGTGTCTGGTTAGTTTTTTTTTTTTTTGGCTTTTGAGGAGTTTGTTTTTATTGGAGGAGAAGGACTTTATTCTGATTTTATTCGATTTGTTTTCTTTTTACAGCCCCATTGACAAACCTTCAGATTCTCTCAGTATAGGGAATGGTGACAATTCCCAGCAGGTAAGATTTGAATACAGTATCACTTGATTTATTTGCCATATTCCAAAAGCAAGGTATTCCATGCAGGTGAATTTTCTAAAAATACTTTACTGACACAATTTAAAAACACTTTTGATGCTCATCTTTGTTAATCATATTATAATTAGCCTTTTTCCCCCAGAATATATAGAGCACAGTTTAACACTTTTTTAATGACTCAGAATTATCATTATGACCAGATATTATTATCTTTAGAGTCTGCTAACATTATTGGTCTTCTTGACCCTGTGCCAAATGGTCCCAGGCTAGCATGCCTTCTGAGTTCTTGCTTTTAAGAATTGTATTCCTACACTACATAGTCCCCTTGCACCTTGCTGTCTACTTTAATTTTCTTTTTCAGTCAAGTGTATTTGTTCCTAACAGTTTCCCTTCTTATTTCCCCCAAATGACTTTCAGCTTTGAAATGATAAGCCAGATAAGCTGTTCAAAGTTGAATCTACTGTGAAACTGAGTGGAGTGCTGACCATTAGAGCATGCTTTATGTCATCTTGTCTTATTGTTCAGGGACCTTTTTTTTGCTAGTTTTTCACTCCTTGAGTTTCTATACATCTTCTTACATTGGTAAAATAAATGTAATTTAGTCCCTTCCATAAAGAATAGCCAGTCCTCCACAGTATTTGTGAAAAACTTAGAGATCTAAAATACAATGCTTTTCCAAATGTTTTCCTGACACATTTTGTAAAAGAATGTGGAAATCTGTATGTCCCCTTGTATATTTTAGTTGCACATTAACTTTTTTTACAGCTTGAAAGTAGTTGCAAAGGATGTAATTTCCAGCATATTAGAAATACTGATATCTGAGAAATTTAATATTTTGATATCCCATCATAATGTTTTGGTCATAATCATGTTTTATTATCCTGTCATCCATTTAAAAAAATACACATGCTCTCCTTTAACAGTCAGACGTTTTACATTTTTTTCTCTGTGAACTAATTTTTCTCTGTTATTATAGAGTTTTATCTTCATGCAGTATAGTTTTTGCTTGAAAAACATATACTTCTCTTAAAAATAGGCATATACATTTTTGAATTGAAATAAAGATGTTTTTGCGGTCACAGACTTCAAATGCCAGTTTTTGTCTTCTGAATTTTATTAGTAGTATTGAGATGACACTATACATAAATGTAGATTTTAATTTTAAAAACCATGAAACAAGTAGTAATAAATAGTAAAATTATATTGAAAATTCATCTCTTAATGAAGAATAGGGCCATTTTAAAATTGGTTTTTGTGTATCTCTAGGTGAATGTTACCTATTGGTAAAAGAGCCAAGTTGCAGCAACAATCTGGTCATGTTTTTTATTTTTCTAAGATGTGTTGAGATACTTTGTTCATATAAATAGGTAGGTGGAAGGAGGAGTATTATATCAGTATCACTCAAGTCTTTCAATTTCTTCTGAATTAAATACCTAAGAATCATAGAAAGATTTATTATGTAAAATTATTTTTAATGATGTGTTTGGAAACAACTTAGATCTTTCTTTAATTTTCTTGAAAACTAAAATATTGAGAATCACCTAGCATGTAAAATGATCTAGTCCTTACAGTCAGTCACTCTCTTATCACCAATCCATGTATTTCTAATAGTTTGTGTTTGGTTTCTGGAAAGTTTTCACTCTTGAGCAAAATACTATAGTAAAATCCCAAATGAAAAATATTATTTTCTTGGTAGTGAGAGAAGTAAGGTTGTAAAAAGAGAGGAGACGGCCGGGCCCGGTGGCTCATGCCTGTAATCCCAGCACTTTGGGAGGCCGAGGCGGGTGGATCATGAGGTCAGGAGATCGAGACCATCCTGGATAACGCAGTGAAACCCCGTCTCTACTAAAATCACAAAAAATTAGCCGGGCGTGGTGGCACGCGCCTGTAGTCCCAGCTACTTGGGAGGCTGAGGCAGGAGAATTGCTTGAACCCGGGAGGCTGAGGTTACAGTGAGCCGAGATTGCACCACTGCACTCCAGCCTGGGCAACAGAGCGAGACTCCATCTCAAAATTTAAAAAAAGAGACTAGTTTAATCTTTTCAGGCAGACTAATTTTTTTAAAGAGTATATATGTAAGTTAATGATTTAATTGATTTTTCTGAAACTTCATGCTTTCATTAAAACATCTTCAAGTACCACAGTTTGCAAAGCACTATTCTAATACATTTAGTTGCAAACTTTTAAATTGTGGCTTACTAAAATGTATAAACATGTAGTTATTATTTGTTTTCCTTTTTTATTCAGATATCTAACAGTGATACGCCTTCACCACCACCTGGTTTGTCAAAATCCAATCCAGTCATCCCCATCAGTTCATCCAATCACAGTGCACGGTCCCCTTTTGAAGGGGCAGTAACAGAGTCACAGTCGTTATTCTCAGACAATTTTCGCCATCCCAACCCTATCCCAAGTGGGCTTCCTCCTTTCCCCAGCTCCCCACAGACATCCAGTGACTGGCCTACAGCACCAGAACCACAGAGCCTCTTCACATCAGGTATATAACAATAGTACCAAGTATTAGTAATTATGTTCTTAACATATTGTTGACAGACTAACATGAAACTCATTAGTGGATATATTTTTATCTTTTGCCTCTCTGTTCTCTTTTATAAAAATGTAAATATTTAAACTACATGGAATTAGGTGGTTAGATACATAGTTGTGTGACCTAGAAATTACTGTGTTAAAAGATTTCTCCAGAAGTAAAGGGTTATATTATTTTACCAATAGTAAAAAGCTTATTCCTTTGGGAATTTTTATTTTTATTTTTACTTTTTGGAGGTGGAGGTCTTGCTCTCTCACCCAAGCTGGAGTGTAGTAGCGTGATCTTAGCTCACCGTGGCCTCACACCCTGGGTTCAAGTGATCCTCTCACCTCAGCCTCCTGGTTAATTTTTAAATTTTTTGTAGAGACAGGGTCTTGCTATATTGCCCAGGCTGGTCTTGAACTCCTGGCCTCAAGTGATCCTCCCACCCGAGCCTTCCAAAGTGCTGGAATTACAGGCATGAAGCACTGCACCTGGCAAGGACTTAGATTTTTAATTAGATATGTATTTTTATTTAATTAGATTTGTGTTTAAGATTTCCCCTCCCCAGATGACAAAGATGTAAGTTATTTAGTAGTAACAGTTATGTTACTACTAAATGGTATTTTTGAACCATTTCCATTTTTATCCATTCTAAATTCTCTCATTACTATGAAAGGTGGCATAAAAGTAATATTGACAACAGCACCTACAGAGCAGAAAATTCCAAAAAACTAAGGATTAATATAAATAATTTTTAATTAAATTGTATTTTTTCTTAGTATAGAAAGCATATATTCAAAATTATTTGTACTTCGATAAATACATTTAAAAAATAAACTTTACTAATTAAAATCTGTTAAGTTATATTTATTATTTTATTTCATGGAAGTGACTTAGGTTGGTTTTGATTATGAATGGTTGAGAGTATAATTGGAGTGTCAAGTACATTTTTTCCTTTGATTAGCAAAATCAGTCTATATTATTCAGTTTTTGAAGCTAGTAGCTTAAGAGTTAAGTAACTGCTAGAAGTATATAAGGCCTTTTGTAGTTCTATGATCTTAATGTGCTAAGAAGTCACATAGATTTTGCACGTACTTAATTTGTAATATGACATGTTTAACTTTCAGTAAGTGAGCTGTGTATCTGATATTCATCACTATTTTTCCTCCCAACAGAAACAATCCCAGTATCATCCTCTACAGACTGGCAAGCAGCTTTTGGCTTTGGTTCTTCTAAACAACCAGAGGATGACTTGGGTTTTGATCCCTTCGATGTCACTCGAAAAGCCTTAGCAGACCTGATTGAGAAGGAACTGTCCGTTCAAGACCAACCTTCCCTTTCACCCACATCTCTTCAGAACTCCTCTTCACACACTACAACCGCCAAAGGTCCAGGCTCTGGATTCCTGCATCCTGCTGCAGCTACAAATGCCAATTCTCTCAATAGTACCTTTTCAGTCTTGCCCCAGAGGTTCCCTCAATTTCAGCAGCACCGAGCGGTTTATAATTCATTCAGTTTTCCAGGCCAGGCAGCCCGCTATCCTTGGATGGCCTTTCCACGCAATAGCATCATGCACTTGAACCACACAGCAAACCCCACCTCAAATAGTAATTTCTTGGACTTGAATCTCCCGCCACAGCACAACACAGGTCTGGGAGGGATCCCTGTAGCAGGTAGGTTCATTTAAAGCCTTTGAGAATTTTTGAATAACTCATATTTTCAGGTTGTTGGGTGGATAGGGAAGGAGCTGTTGAATAACAGAGTATTAATATCTTGGAAATTTCTATGAAAGATTAGTCTTTATCATAATCTAAAATATATTTTTCATTAGATGGATGCCTTGTAATATTGAGCTTTATAAGGATGGTGGAGTATTATACTTATTGTTTGGAAGCATTTTACTTAATAGGATAATTACCAAACTTTCTATGGTATTTAAATGAAAAAGAAGAAAATGGTCTCTGAAGTTGTGGTACTATAAAGTCCAACACCGTGGTGAAAATTAAGATTTTATATTCTAAAGTAAAATGGTTAAGAACATTTTTTTTAATGATAATTAATGAGAGCATGAGGGATAAAGCCACTCTCTATCCACTTTTGGCAGTTACTTGTTTTGACTGATACACACATACACACACATCAAAACTGAGCTATAAATAAAGTACTTGAGAACTCATTATTAATGTTTTACAAGCATATCATATGTCTCAGACATACACCTTTTGTGAAAGAGAAATTGTTCAAGGAAAGTTACTTTCCCATTTGATCTGCCACCATGTTTTTATTTCTAGGGAAAAATATGAAGTATATATAAGGTAATGTAAGTTTGATGCCAAAATACTTCTGGTTTTGTACTGCTACCCTTGAAGGTTTCAGAACTTTTGGGTTTAAGATTCTATATAACATTTTTTAGATGAAGTATCTTCTTTATCCAAGGGAGTCATTCTTGTTAATAGTGTTCTCATTTAACCTTGGCTTTAGAGACGATGTTAAAAAAAAGTTTGTTCCTCTCCTGATTCTCTCAAGTGAAATAGAATAATGATTCTCTCAAGTAGAGTACAATAGTTTCTCACTCTGTTAGAATAGTTCTTCACATAATTCATACAATTTATTGTTATCCCTTGTCAGGTATGGCATGGCACAGTATTATCGTAATAGGATGCTTTCATCAGCAGCAAGGTGTTTACTCTCTTGTTTTTATCAAAGTTGATAGATGAATTTACAGAGGTCTATCAAAGTTCTTTATCCCTATTCCCTTTGGGACCGACAATATTTCATGTTCTAGACAAGTAGCTAGGTTAAGAGAGTATAGTTTGTGGCTGTTGACATAGTGAAATTAACTATTGATACAGTGAAGTTAATTTACATAAGCCTGGAAGCACCTAATGTAGTGACTTGCACAGTGATGGGACTCTTATTTGTTCATTTAATTATGGTAGTTAGTAGGTAACCCAGAGTGACATTTTTCAGTCCTCTTCTTCTACATGATACTTGTGAAACAATGTGTTCAGTTCCAGATACTCCTTTTATTTCCTTCCATTCAAGATAGCATACTAGAATGTAATTTTCTTTCATTTTGCTTTAATCATTTAGAAATGTGGCATTTTAATTACTAGTAGTGGTTCTCATAATCAATTATAACATTCATTAAAAGTTAAAGTTAAGTTCCCCCAAATCATCAAAACATTTAAAAATTAGACCAATTACAGTGAATGTGAGGGTTCGTATTTGCCCATCAATGAATTAGGCCATGTGGGAAATATTAAAGATGTTTAAGATATGGATAAAATTTCCACATACTTAAAGTATAGTTGAAGAGACTAAAATAATGTATGAAAGTGGTAACTATATGTATGATACTGGAATCTGAGAGACATCAATGTACCCTGTAATTCTTGGGGAGGCTTCACTGAATAAGTAGGAATTGATCCCTACTATCGTATCTTAGATTTGGGTTAGGAGCAGGGGAAGAGAAAAGGCCTTTTATGTTGATGGAAACCTCCTGAGTAAAGGCATAGAGGCAGGAATTAGTATGCCATTACACTGAGAAGTAATACAGCTACCTCCTATAACAGGAGATGCTTCTTAAATTGTATAGATATAATGAATGAGAAGACGAGAAACTCTTGACAATGAGGCAAAATGGCATGGACTTGGGATGATGCCTTTATGGGATGCCTTTATGGGATTCTAAGTTATTAGATTCTAAGTAGGATGCCTTTATGGGATTCTAGTTATTAGCTGTCTTCTTTTTGTGCTTTTATTTGACTTATTACATGATGATCTTTGATTTTCTTCCAATTTCATAGTCATCATATTATTCCTTAGCACCGAAGAGTAGTTTTAACCCTTATATTTCAAACCAATATTCTCGGAATGCCACACTGGTAATGAGAAATCGCTGATTAGTAAGTTTAGTTGTCCTTGTGTTGGTTATTTAAAATCTTCATCTAAAGTAGACGCTTTATGGGAAAAATGTGGCATTAAATTATGGTCCTATCTTTGTGAATTTTGTTTTGATTTTTAAAATTTTTACCATATACTCAACCATAGAGCATTAAAAACTTTTTTTTTTCAGAGATGCTAAAAATGTAGTTACCAACTTTAGGTTCTGAATCATTGTTCTATTTGGTAGGGGGTGGGAGAGTTTATTTTGGATTTTCAATTTCAGGCTATGCAGACTTTCTTGGTATTTAAATGGTGACTTATGGTTAAGCTTATTATAAGGTTATTTTTAAGGCTCTGATGACTAGAGAAATTTTAGTTTTAATATACCAACATTTTAAAATTTTTTATCAAGAGTCTCACACACCAGAATCCTCTCATGGATTATAAATATTTGGTAGATGCCTCAGGAAACTGAATGTGCTAAGCCTCAGGGCAGAATAGCTGTGTAATTGTAGCCAGAAGATTTAGGATTTTCAGTAACTGTTATAAATGACAGAAAGTGAAAACCTGGAAAACTATATACATCTTAACTATGTCTAATTTGAAGCAATTTAATACCTAGGTAACTCACTTGCACCAGCTGTAACTCACTTGCACCTGAGTTGAACTATTGAAACGGATTCAACTTTGTATCTTCTAGCAGTTATCATGATACCTTACACAGGGCAGCTGTCACTAAATGCTTCAATAATAGAGAGAGTACATATTTGTTTCAGTGGGACCTGCTACTTTAAGATATACTTAGACAATATTTTAAACTAATTCTACACTCTGGAAAGGCATGTATATTTATTCTCTAAATATGTAGAGCAAAATATGGTCTCTGACCTATACGAGCAAATCAGAGACGGCAGTCACCTACATGTCATACAAATACAATGTCTACTTATTATATATTTGTACTTAAATTTTTATTTTTGGTTTGTTCAGTGAATTATTAAAGATTGATATATCTGAAACCTATCATGGGAAAAACAGTTGCCAGAGGTTTGACAGAAATGCAGCTTCCCTTTTTTTTGGTCTAATAGAAAACTTTTTTTGTGTTTAAAATTAGTAGTTATTTCCTTAATTAGGTGAAACCTTTCTTAGCAGCATTTGGTTTACTAAGTTTAGAAAGATTTTTGAAATAAATATTCTTTGGGGAAATTTTGATTCATGGGCAGGTATAGTAAATTCATTCAGATCTTTTCTTTATTATTGGAACCATGTGCCTTCTTTCTAAAAAGTTATTTACCTTGTCCTAAAAAGTGACTTTATTTTGTCCAGTTCCTTCATTTTAGGAATAGCAAAGCTGTGTTTCAGAAAGCTTAAATAATTTGTTAATGATCACATACCTCAATTACTAGTGGAATTAGGATAAGAACTTAGATCTTAAATTCAACAATGGAAATGTTTTTGCACTACAATGATGTCCTCCTTCATAAATGAAGATCACTGGCATGTACTTTAACTTGGCTTTCTTCCCGTGGTAATTGATTTTTGCTCTCACACACTTGCAAGTCCCTTTTTATCAACAGTGTCAACTCATGAGACAAATTGGCCCAGCTCAGGGGTGTATGGCCTATTGATACAAAATAAAGTTTATCGACTTGATGGAAATCAGTCTCTTTCTTAGTCCTTATTAATATCATTTTCTCACTAAGAACTCTAGTCTAAAATTTGCTTTACACAGCCTCATTGCTATGTACTTGGGGTCTATAAGAATCTTTGCCAATTTACTGAAAAACTACAAAATCACCTGTTATATGGATTGACAGACTCTTTTTCTGCTTTGTCAGTTATCTTTCCAAATGTAATTTTGCAGATTTGTTTAAAAAAAAAAAACTCTGCCAAGTTGTTTTTATTCCATGATGTTAAAAATTATTTGGAAAACATAAGTCAGTAAGCATTGTTGTTTCAAGATATACCTCAAAAATTTGAAACTGTTTAGGATTGGATTTTTTTTTTTCATGCTTTTGTAAATTTAAACTTTACTTTTGAGAGGGCATTTTTCTTTAAATTTTCTTTGTTTATGAACTGTTTTAACAGTGACTTGATTGAATTTTGAGTCATGTGTGAAACAAGTCACTTGTAGTCAAATAATTATCAGTTATAATCAGGAGAACTGATCTCATTCATCTATGATTCTCTGACCTAGAAGTAGTCATCTCATTTTCAGTCAATTGGATCATTGTACTGTTAACATTTTACTATTTTTTCAGTTACTTCAAAGGTAAACTTGAATTTTCAGATGCTGTATGTTAATTTACTAAGTTAATATTTATAGGTATTATTTCATTTTTTTCTAGTACATAATTTATGCTTTTAAAACATGGATTTATAATTTTTCTCTTTTAAAAATCAGTTTTCACTTCTGTAAAGCAAGGTTTAATTTTTTCACAAAATACTATTAATATTTACCATTTATTAGGAGTATCTATAAGAGGTCCAATTGGCTTGGAAAAGAATGGCTTTCCTGGTCTTTTTTTTTTTTTTGGTAGTATATTTATAATCTAAATCTATTATATTTGTTCTTATCTCTGACACAATATTACTCAGGATATATTTAGAATATAACTACTTTCCAGGTACTTGATAAGTTTATATTTTAAAATTCATGTCTTGTTTCACACCTGGATTCCAAACATTAAGCATGTATTTTATATATGTATCAGCATTCCAAATATTGAAATCATTTTTAAAGGGACTGTTAACAAATCTAGTCACCCATAACTAGACCATGACTGACTTTTCCACAGGGGAAGAAGAGGTGAAGGTTTCGACCATGCCACTGTCAGCCTCTTCCCATTCATTACAACAAGGACAGCAGCCTACAAGTCTCCACACTACTGTGGCCTGACAACAGAACTGAGAGGAGAGGATTAGACTCTGGGGTGCTTGCATGGGCAACTGGATTTTTGCATGATTCGTTTATGATTTTGCATTTAATGTATACACCCAAAAGAGCCAATATAAACGTTCCTGATGCCTACAGCTAGCGTGTTACCTCATAGTTGCTTAAGTATTTCTTCTTTAGGCCTTTAACATAATTTATTAGTGTAATAATTTTGGCATTGTTTCTCATGAGTGATACTATTTCTAACTCATAAAAACAAAACTTGTAGTACTAAGATCCCAGGTGAGATTAGCTAGAATTGTTCTTATTTTGGCTCTATTATTGAAAAATTATACAAAGGTAATGGTAGTACCTTTTTTTCTGGTTTGTGAAAAAATAATATCCTAATCTCCTGAAAAATTTGAAAATTAACAAGATAATGTCTGTTGCGTTCTTTGAATACTTGAGAAGAAAGAATACATATAAAACAAAATCGGTGGTGTCATTTAATGCTCAGAAGGATATTGTTGGCGATTGTTTTTAGTTGTCTAGATTTATATCCTATAATATGCATTACATGTGTAGAAACTGTTTTGTTCTTTCTCTTTTGCACTTTTGCACTTTCTTTTTGAATGGTTGTTAATTATGCGTAGATGGTTAAAAGATAATTATAGCCTAAATGCAATATAATCTCTTTTCTAATGCACTGCCTAGTATACCAGGAAATGCCTCAAAAACAGAACTTCAGTTTATAGTTGACTTATCTGAAACTTGAATACCGAGTAAACATTGTATGTGAAAAGCAACCATGGTAGTGTAACGTTACTGAACAAACAGTAATTCTGTGGGATATTGTTTTGGAAATTCATTGTTTAATAATTAAAATGTGATAGTAAGATAATATTATAAGTACCTGACCAGAATGAGACTAAGGCAGAAGAGAAGAGATTGGATGTCCGCTAAAATTAGGCCACCTAAATTGTAACAGATAATTTTAATCAAGAGAATAGTGGAGTACTTTATTAGGACATAATGTGAAGTGATATTTCTGAAAATACATTTCTTGAAATAGTTTTAAAACTGATAATAAAAGAAAAGAAACTGTACTTAGTTGGGAACAATGGACAAAAGCTGATTCAGAAAACATGGCCATATTCTGCCTAAATGAAGCATCTGGGAAGAAAGGGAAAGTCACACCTCCTTTTGATATTTTAACCGTTGTGATAAAAGGTATGCTTTAATTTGTTTAAAAAAAAAAAAAGTATGAAAGGGGATAATGTGAATACAAAAAAAGAAGCCTGGAGATTGAAAATAATAATAGAACATGTTATTAGGAGATGGTACTTAATGTCAATGTTGGAGTTTTCAAGGTTACCTCTATATAAAATTGGATTACTACTAGATATAATGTGACAAATTAAATGACTTTATCCCAAGGTACAGTGAGGTAAACAAAAATCTATTCTTAGATATCCTTAGATTTGGTTAACTGAGGCTGTAGAAGCAGCGAATTGTCTAACCATTTAAGTTATTTTTGTAAAATTCAACGTAAATATCAATCGCTAATTTCTATCTAGAAGTGATTTTAAGACATTACAAGAACATTGCCAATTTGGAAAATACCAATAAAATACTGTAGACTTATTAAACATCAGCCTTTTACTATGGCTTAATTTAATTATGGTTTTCATTTTTACTGTAAGAGGCCAGGACTTCACTTATGTCTCCTGTGGGGCTGAGGCTCCTGGGCCTTGTTGTTATAACAAACTCTGGCTCCTTATGATGATGCCTACTAGCTCAAAGCTTTCTCCAGCCTTCAGTGTTAGCCTTTCATTGCCTGGATCTTCTTACAAAGCCATACCAAGTGGTTAGTTCCATTTGCTGCTTGGTGTTGAGAGGTATACCTGTTAAATGAGGCTTCTTTCCTTTCTCATTCATAGCCAGTGCGGAAAAATCATCAGGTAGTTTGCCCAGATTTGCCAGAGCCCTAAATAAAATCCCAAAATGATCTCCCTACCTGCTTCTCCTCCCCACTCCCACTTACATGCACACCATAAATCAGGAAAATGCTTTTTGGGCAATTAGACTTTGACTTCTAAATTTTTACATAGAATGGCTAAACATGATCTTTTGACTCACTTTGTAATCCCTAGACCTCACCTTTTTGCTTACCTAATATTTTATTTAAATATATTTTTTTTTAAAAACTGAAGTCTTAAAATCATAGTCATAATTAATTTTACACTAAAGGACAGAAGAAATTGTACAACACATAAAAGAAGCCAGCACTTCACATAGCAAGCAAATTGAAACCAAAATGACAGAAGAATGACAAATTCTTTAAAAGCTTCAGGTTTTGATGTTGTTGTTAAATTCCTGCATGATGCATCATGTGCAAGGCAAACTTAATACACTTTTATACCCTTAACCTTTATAAAGTGACTAGCTTTTCCCTTAACATAGGAATTTTTAACCTGGAGCACAGACTTTTGAGAGTACATACAGAATTGTGGGTTTGTGTGCATGTACGTATGTCCATTTTTTTCTGGGGAGAAGATCCATAGTTACTAGATTTGTGAAGGATTTGGTGACACGCTTCTCCTATCAAAAAAAAAAAAAAAAAGAACAGCTGCCTTGAAATGTTTTTAGTGCCACTTTAGGGAATAGAGTCCTGTACTGAATGATTTTAGTTGTATGATGAATTATAAGTGCCTCTTTATTTTCTCTAAGATTCCATTAGAAAATATTTTTTCTGACTAATAATGCTTTCCTTTTCATCCTATTATTGAGTTTTCGTTTTCCACATGTCACTTTTGTGTACTCTCCCCTTATTTTGACAAAGCATTAATTAAATATTTGAGTACCTATTGTGTATAGTGACTTGAACTAGATCTTGAGAGATATAAGGTTGAGTAAAATACGGACCCTATCATCAAGGATAATTCTAGTGACAATTATATTTCACATTATTTCTATCAGGTCTTGATAATATTTTAATCACAGGAACCACCATAGCAGTCCAGACTCATTTTATTATTTATCATCTCTCAGTAACTGCTCTGATAGTGGCAACAAAGGGTATTGAATACTTATATTTCAGATTTTAAAATTTATGATAATTTGGAGGGAGGTGAAAAAAACCTTGCTAGGAAAGACATACGTTCATTATTCCACGTGTGTGTGAGCTCATGTCTCTTTCTCTTAGCATCCTGGGAATTAAGTAGAGCCTTCTGTGTAGGTGTTCCATTAAAGAAAACAACTTTAATGCATTTTACCTCTGCACATTTCCACTGACATGGCTTTTATTTGTACGGTGTTCCAGGCACTGTCAAGACTGCCAGAGCTCTGGTCTGCTGTGACACAGGTCCATAGGTGCTCCCACAGAGGCATTGCCTCAGAAAGACAAGAGAAAGGAACAAATTGCAGTTGCTTTGAAATCTTACAGTGGCCTGTAGGGGTCGGGATAGGGCAGTAAGGAGATCAGTTGAGGTATTCAGGTACAGGTAAGCTTGGATAAGTATGCTTAAAGCCTTGAAAACCGGGAGAAGAGTTTAGTCTTGATGCGAATGTGGTCAGTGGTAGAGAACTATAAGTTCTTGGCAAAAATGTAGCTTGATCATAGCATTTTAAGAAGAGTAATTGGGTAATAGATTTGATTGCAATTAGGACCGGTTAGAAAGTAATTCCAGTAATATGCCGTTGCTGGCTAGTGCAAATAAGTTGGCCTAGACTAGCACAGTAGTGGTTGGAATGGAGAAGAACTATGAATTAGAAATTGGAAAGCATAAGAGCTGAGAAAAGGCCTTCAGATTTGGTTAGATCTCTGGTGATCTTTAAAACTGTAACTTTCAGAGAAAGGTACAGAATGGAAGCCCATCGTTTCAGGATGAATGAGGAAATGTCAAGAATATGTATGCAGCAATCATTGACTACTTAGTGTTAAGACATTTGACAACAAAGTTGAAGAGAAAAATAAGATGCTAACTAGGTGGGTGGTAGATCTTAGAAGGCATTGCTTTAATATAAGGGAGAAGAAGAACCTAAATATTTAAAGGCAGACCATACAGAGCCAACTGAGAGGAAGAGATTGGCAGTGCTGAAGAGAAGACAGCTCATTCAGTAGGATGACAGATGTCTTTGGTGGGAAGAGATAAGCTCCTGAGAGGAGCATGTGGGTTAGCTTAAGAGAGGTGGGTGGCCGGGCGCGGTGGCTCACGCCTGTAATCCCAGCACTTTGGGAGGCCGAGGCAGGCGGATCACGAGGTCAGGAGATCGAGACCATCCTGGCTAACACGGTGAAACCCCGTCTCTACTAAAAATACAAAAAAAATTAGCCGAGCATGGTGGCGGGCGTCTGTAGTCCTGGCTACTCAGGAGGCTGAGGCAGGAGAACCTTGGCGTGAACCCAGGAGGCGGAGCTTGCAGTGAGCCGAGATCGCGGCACTGCACTCCAGCCTGGGCGACAGAGCGAGACTCTGTCTCAAATAAAAAAGAGAGGTGGGCTGTATCGTCCTCTGTGATTTGTGAGAGCAAGAAGAACCTGGAGAAAGAGAAAGATGAGAATTGATGAAAGGGCTCATATGAGTAATTATTAAAAGGCATTATTGTTTGAAAACGGGTGAAAGTGGAATTGGGAGCTTGTTAAAGAAGGAGATGTAAAAAAAAAAAAAAGTCTTCTATGAGAATAAGCCCAGAAATGCATTGTGAATAGTTGCCGTATGTTTTTATATAAAGCAAGATAAGAGTCAGCTTAAAGATCTCTCAAGTTCAAATATATATGGTTTTGTATGTTCCTCTGGTTTAGCACAAAGCATGAGTGGAAAAAAACGAATATTGAGAGTTTGGTTAAAAGGGGAAAAAGACAAAGACATAGAGACATTCAAGAAGACCACAATGAAATGCATAATCTTGTGCCAAGAAGAGTCTATTAAGGCAGTTTCCTGTGAAGAAATGGTGTGAGTGATGTGGAAGGGAGTTGAATGATTTTAGATTTTGACAGTGAGAAAGAACATGTTAGTGTTGCTAAGGGAATGATAACTGGGAGACTGTGGTCACTGTGATAACCACTCAATGCTAAATGGTGATTGAGAACCAGAGAAAGGAGAGGGCTGGAGGTTGGAAAGAAGCTTGTCTTTTGTAACCCTTTATACTCTCTCCTCCAGTCTTTTCATGAGTGTAGGAAGTCAAACTATGTGAGAGAGAATTGTAGAAAACCCGGAAGCAATTCCATGCATCCGCAGTTGGGCACCTGGGGAATCCTGGGTCAGGTTTCCAGTGAGTTGAAAATGATGAAAGGAAAACTTCCTTCCTCAAAGCATGGTAGGAGGACCAGGAAAAGCCAGGGATGAGATGAGACAGGTGTAAGTAATCAAGCCCCAGTGAGTGTGAGGAATTGGCAGAAATGTTACTTATGATGTGAAAGATTTAGACAGAGGGTTTAGGTATGGTGTATGATGAGTTTGGTAGTTGCGGAGCCCTTATTACAGGTAATACAGCTTCTCCCAAACTCACAGGCAAACTGGAAAGCTTTTTTAAAAATGGGCTTCCACCTATGAAGGGAAAGTGTCTCTTCTTACATAGTTGGATTAGGTAGGTCATTCTGCTTTATTTATATATCAAATAAGAATTAAAAGTAAGGTGTTGGTGAACAGTAGAGATAAATTAAGAATTTTATTGTAACAGGTTATAAAAATATTTTGATAATTTCCCCCAAAGAGAATGTACTATATGAATAAATAAAATCTACAAAATATTGGGCTAATTTACCCTTGTTTCTTATATTTTGTGTACTTAGGAGGTGACCTCTAGGAAAAAATTGCTGAAGAGGTAGTAGAGCAGGGTGAGGATACTGTATACTGTTATCCCTAGGTATCTGTAGGGCATTGGTTCCACAGATAGCAAAATTCTCGGATTCTCAAGTCCTCAATATAAGATAGTGTAGTATTTGCATATGACCTGCACATATATGGCAGGCTGTATATTTTAAATAATCTCTAGATTACTTCTAATACCTATTACAATGTAAGTGCTATGTAAATAGTTGTTATACTATATTGTTTAAGAGACTAATGACAAAAAAATCTGCATGCTTAATAAATTACACAGTTTTTAAAAAAATATTATCTATTCGAGGTTGGTTGAATCCACAGATGTGAAAACCCCAGCCCAGATACCTGGGGTCAACTGTGTTTTTTGTTTTTGTTTTTTTTTTTCCTCCTAGTCAGTTAATAGCAAATATTCCCAGTTTGGAAGCAACCTTAGTTTTCTTTTTTCTTTTCTTTTTTTTTTTTTTTGAGATGGAGTCTCGCTCTGTGCCCCAGGCTGGAGTGTAGTGGCGCGATCTCGGCTCACTGCACGCCATTCTCCTGCCTCAGCCTCCCGAGTAGCTTGGACTACAGGCGCCGCCACCACGCCCGGCTAATTTTTTTTGTATTTTTAGTAGAGACGGGGTTTCACCGTGTTAGCCAGGATGGTCTCGATCTCCTGACCTCGAGATCCGCCCGCCTCGGCCTCCCAAAGTGCTGGGATTACAGGCTTGAGCCACCGCGCCCGGCCCTTAGTTTTCTAATAAAGTATTTTAAAACTCACTCCATATATGTCAGCTGCAATATGAACTGTGACATTTAAAAAGGATAATGCTTCAAAGTACAAATCATTGCTCAAGAATACTGTTTGTGAAACCTTGCTGATGGATTGAGAAGCCACTGCTCCTTGGACCTCCTTACCACCCTGTGATTTGCTTCTGTGAGTTGTAATCGAGCCATCTAACATTGCTGGTCATACTAGCCTTCCACTTCTTAGTCAGGGGCTATTTCCAAAGAATCACTCTTGTTAATTCAAGAAGCATTAAGAAGATTGTACTCTGCTTTTTGGTCTTTTAGAGAGTCTTCTCTGGGTTTGAGTTATAGGGAAATCGAGTTTAGGTACCTAGAACTGAGAACAAGCCTAAGTAACCTAAGCCGCTTGAGAAATGGACTGAAGTACCCAGATGTTCCATAAAACAGCTTGAAGTTGTTGACCTTGAGAACCAGTTCCTTTTCTCCAGGTTCCTCTTGACCACACTTCCTAAGGCAACTATTGACTTCACTGTCTTAGCCCACTTTACCTTTATTCTAAAGGTTCCTGGAAGCTCCAAGCTGACCCTGGAACATACTGTGCTTATAACAATTTTGTTATTCCAGCTCCTGTTGGGTGCTTAGACCCACTATTGTGCTGTTACAAAGCAACATCCTAAAATGCTTTTTCCTCTTATATAATTTATAAAACCTTTAATGCACCCATTACCTTTCTTTCTTTTTTATAGTGGGTGAAATTCACGTAACATTCAATTAATTATTTTGAAGTGTATGATGCAGTGACCCAGTACCATTCTTTAATTATCTCAATGGTAAAATAGCAGAATAGGTAACCTACTCTGCTGAAAGAATTTTAGTCTGTTCCTTGTTGGGGCTGTGTGGTAATAGCTGCTTCTAGACTCTGTGTTTTACCCAGTAGGCTAAAAGGCAAATGTTAAACCTTAAAATATTCCGTATTTCTGCACGGCAGTACTCCTGCAACTTAAGCTTGTGAATCAAGCAACTTTTATTCATCCTTTTAAAAAGGTGGTGGGGGGCAATGCAAGGA